GATCATGGATATATACATACATATACATATATTTCTATATATATATACATGTATATATATTGAAGGCGTCTTGGCCGGGAGCTGACTTTAGCTTGAGAGCAAACAAACACAGGCGGCAATGCTGACAATAAGCTGATGTGCTAGCCTATACCCTGGATAATGCATATACTATGTACAATTATGCTTCAGCAGCCAGTCAAGTTCGCAAAACTCTGTTCAGTTTCTGCTGCAGGGTATATTGCCTGCTGCTCAAACAGTGGCTTAGTGGCAAGAGGGGGGCTAACCTTTGGCAAGCGTGATTGATTTTTAAGCGTGTTTAGTTTGCTGCTGATTGATAGCAGCCCACGAGCTTTCAAGGCATCGGGCTCCCCCCCTCTCATTTGAACTACGCCCCTGGTCGATGTGTTTGCTTTGCCATACGTGATATTTGCTGCTAGTTTACGCGTGTCACACAAACGCGTCTCACTAATCATTCGGTTTGTTTGGCCAACAGAAATGTTTGCCTTCGATTTGCATAAAGCAAAAGCAGTGCAATCCATTTAACGCTCAATTAAAGCGCCTATAAAGAGTCTACAAAGCGGATTCCGCCGCAAAGGGGCAGAAGGAGAAGCAGGACGGCTTTCAATTTGATGCGGTTTTCCATGCGATCTATTATAATATGTGTGCGCACAGCAAATGACATTCCATAAATTTAGCCAATGTGCGTTATGTAAACTCGGTAACATTTTCCACCACATTTCGCTAATTTGGCGAAAAGCTGCTGCCCGCATCAGCCCTATTGGCCATGCATCATGTCAATTTTGGTAGGCAACGTTTTTGATTAAACGCGCTTAAAGCCAAAATCTGACAACAGCAGCTGTTGTTGGCAAATAGCTAAAAAGGGTCGAATAGCTGCGTGCTAGCGTACGCAACAGGCAGTCAGGTCTAGCCAGATCCGACAAAAATTAGACAAACGGAACTCTCTAAGAAACATATACTTCTCAAGTAAATAACGATAAATATTCTTCGCTAGCATTTACAACAGGATTTCATTTGATATCTTATTCCCTTTTCTTTATATCTATTAAGATCGATTTGGAAACATGTCTAAGAGCAAGTTATACAAAACTTGTGTACATTCTTGTATAGGGTATTCAAAACAAGAAGATTTCACCTTTGGCCAAAATTGAATCAATTTTTTTTTTATGACTGTGAAACGTCGCTCTAGGGTATATACCTTTGTATGCCATACTTGGGCACAAATTTTATATAGATTGGGCTATAAGCACCGAAGTTTGTCAGGAAAATAGCACAAAATATATGTATGTTCTGGGTGCAGGGTATCCGTTAGTCGTGCATTGCCAAACATTCTTATTTGTTTGTGTGTGCTGATCGATGGTAAAACAACAACAGCGACAAGTTGTGCTTCGGGTTTTCCGCCAGCCGCATCGTTAATTTGCTCAACATGAGCACGCAGCAAATTTTCCATGCATAAACTTAAAATTAGCGCCCAGCAAAGCACACACACACACACACACACACAAGCACACACACACACAGAGCGCACTCACACACAAACAGAGTTGCTTGCCGCTCTGGTCATAAATTTCGTGCCCGCTGATAAACAATAAATTAAGTTCAGCTTCAGCCGAACAGGACACGTATCCTGGCTGTTTCATGGATTTCCCACGCATTTCCACGCCACGCACGCATACGTGCAAAATTTCAAAAGCTAATTTCGTTCGGTTTTCGTTGCCCGGCCAGGCTCAGGCTGGGGACCAGGGGGAAGCCAGGCCAGGCAGCCCACTTTGGGCCTACTGCGTTTTGGCCAGAGTACAGCTAGGTGCCTCGCTTTTAATATCCCAAAATGAAGGGCTAAAAAGAAGTCTATATGCAAGTTATATATAGCAACAATATGTACCAACGAATCGAATGTGTTTTCATTATACATTAGCAAAAAGCGAGTGCACTTTATGTATGTTATAGTACGATGTCTGCGTTTAAGACTCCGATTTTGAGGACACAGGATTGTATTCATTCCAATCCCAAAAGTCGGACAAGCAATATATATATCTCCGCATATCGGTAATCTTATGAGCAATGTTTGGTTTTTGATTAGACGTTGAAGTTATCTATCCATATCCTAAATACATAGTTACTTGATATTCTATACACAAATTCTGTATAATATTCTCGCTTCAGAATTTTAAATACATGAAGGATAAGCTGTGAAGATATTTTAGGCATTTTTGCCAGTGAACGGGTAAGCCGCAAAGTTATCCTATAGGATTATACAGAAATCTGTTTACAATCTAGTTTCTTTTCCAATGTGAGCTGAGTTGTATGCAGTCGACTACAACTGGCTTCAGAGGTTACATTCAAGCTTTGAAATAAAAAAAGAGTCTAAATATTGCATAAAACTAACAAAACATTTCGACCACTGCAGCGCTGGTTACAGGGTATCTGTGCGTTAAGCTAGCCTTAGCTTTAGCCATACAGTTGCCTTACTTTGCCTCGCCGTCAAAAGTATTTTCATTTACAGCAACTATTTCAAATTCAGGCTCAAGTTATCTGCTTCTTGTTGTGCCTTTAAGCGATTTTATCAGCGCTACAGCTTTTATCTCATGTATCTCATAGATATACTTAGTGTAACCTCGAGATATCAAACAGCAAATTAAATATGCAAATTTGGTGTTCAGTTCAGTTTTCAGCTCTCAGTTTTGCTGCATATCTCTTGCAGCATGGAAATTGCTTTTCTTTTCGCCTCTCCCTCTTTTTTTTTATTTTTTTGTCTCGTTTTTCTTTTCGTGTTGTTTTTAGAATTATCTACACTTTGGATACTTTGCATATTGGCTGAGCGTTTGGTGGGGCACGTACAGCAATGTTGCGGGCGCACATTAAATTTAACTTTGTGTTCGAATTTCGCAGTAAATTGTAAAATTTGTCATGCCCCGAAACTCGTCATAGCCATGGCCTCCTTACCAACCGCTTTGCGTGCTTTACGCATGTGGTAAAAGTTTTGCGTATGTTTTGCAGCTGCCTTTTCGCGCGTGTTGGCCAAAAAGTTTTCGCTGTCGATTTTCGTTGCGTGCTTTTGCGGCGCGTGCGGAAAAGGAAATGTGCAACAGCAGCCGGTTTGGGGCTGGGTGCGGGACCGGGGCCGGGACCAAAAAAATCCGTAGCATACTTTTGTGCGCTTTATATATTTCGACTCTTACGACACGTTTGGCGCCCCGCTCGACAACCCGCCTGCAATTCAGTTCAAAGTTCGATAAACTGGTTGCCTTCCTGTCTGTCTCTCTTTTGCTACTGACTCTGGCTCGTCCTCCTGCTGCCTGCTGCTTGCCTCATTCAATTATTCCAATTCCAGCTGGCTGACTGCGCTGTGTACGCTGATTTCTGCAAAACGCTTTGATGTGCAAAAACTTTGAGACACTGTCTGTCCGTCCGCCTGTCTGACTCGTCTGACTCTCTGTGCCCGCCTGCACGTCTGTCTGTTCTTATCTATATCGCGTATTGATGAACTTATTTTAGCAGTTGGCTAAAACAAGATTCGCTTCTGGTCCGGCCTGGGCGCTTATCTGGCCATGTTCATTTGCCTGACTTTTGTGCTCTGCCCAAAGTTTGGCTGCAAAAACATAGTTAAGAAGCCAAACTGAGAAGTTTTGCTTCTTTTTTATTTTGGAGAGCTATTGCCTGGCCATTTGGCTAAGCTGTATTTGCTCTTTTTGATTTCCTGTTATATACAAGCTACCCCCTACCAAACAGCCCGCCCCGTCCGCTGTTGTCGTCAATTCAGCGGCAACCATATTAATTTTCAATTAAATCGCGTTTCATATTGCTTCCGTGCTGCGGTTTGTTTGTTAATGCCGAATTAAATCCTAGCCTCGAGCACTAAATGCCTGCCAAAAGGGGCGTTCAACACGCACCGAATCACACACCAAGATTGATCTAGTCGGCAGAGACCGACTAGGAGATACCCTAAAGCCGGTGTACGATTCTTCATTCCTTCGACAAACGTTTGTATGCGAAGTGAGTTCTTAATTAACTTGGTCTCTTATAGTCGGATTTGTATGCTTTTGTCAGGGAATTAATAGCTCGAGGCTATATCTCCAATTGTTCTTACAATTTTGACACTACAGGGATTAGATATGAAAAAAACATAAAATATTCTAGATCGATGTCGATGCTTACCAATTTTTTGGCAATGGAGCGAGTAGGCAATGTTCTACCTCGAACTGGATCTTTTCTTAGTTTAGAACCATCAACGTCCACATTTACAAATCTCTAGCTTTTATAGTTCATCTCATCTCGGATGACTTCTTCAGTCTGTTACATACTATGCCTGGGACAATTATACCCTGTTTATCCAATTTAAGCAGATGCAGGGTATACCAACAACAACAACAAAATATGGGCTGAGCAAACAGTTAGAGAGAAACAAACATGAGCTGATATAAATAAATTCGCATTTCCAATGAAACGTTAATAATCCATACACAAATCTATATATACGAAAGAGATGCAGGAAATGCTGGGCAAAGCTTCAGCCTTCTATATACACACACACACACACAGATATATGCATATATATGTATATGTACATATAAACAAGCGTACAATATGCTAAAGCAAGAGCAAAAACAAAACGGGGAATATAATTGTTTGTTGAAGATTTTCGTGTTTTTCTGCTGAATTTTTATGAGAATTTTATTACTTTTCAGTTTTTGCGAGTGTTTTGTGCTTTGCCTGGCATAGCGCACCCCACTCTAACACACACACACACACACACACACACACACACACACACACACATACACTCACACACATGCGAGACTGTACCACATTGTGGCCTGGCATTGGAAGGCCTTTTGCTCGAAACAATACGTATGCACAATGAAAATGAAAATAAATTTCCATTTGGCACAAGTTTTTTTGTTTTTTTTTTTATGCTACAACAATTTCACACTCTCACTGCCCCCTCTCTCACACTCGCCCCTCTCTTTCTCTCTCTCTTGTAGGCTCGAGCGCTGCGTTAGCCCCGACACCAGCAACAACAACATTAACAACAACAATCTCGCCATCAAATCTGCTGCCCTATTTCGACTTTGATGTGCCGCGAAACTTGACCGTCACCGTGGGCCAAACGGGCTTCCTGCACTGCCGCGTGGAGCGACTGGGCGATAAGGATGTAAGTATCAAATATAACAATATACACCCAAAATAGGGTGGAGTATGTTCTAGACATTTGCTAGGGATTGTTTGAAAAGTTGCAAGGAGCTTAGCATGGGCACATTTAGCACAAAGTTTAGGGATCTCCCGTGATCTCCCGTGAATATAGCTGGTTGAACATCTTTATAAATAAATGCCGATTGTTCCTAAGACAGCTATATAATATTGTGGACCGATCCATGAATTATTATTATGAATTATATTCCAGGGAATACGCTTAAGCCTCAAATAGAATACAAGCATAATGTTGCCAGATGTAGATGCCAGATTGAACTAGAGGCAAAAACCATGCTGGTAAAGCCAAACCTCGTGAAAATCGGTTAAGTTCTGATGGGATGGGAGATTTTTACCTATGTCTATATATATTAAATATATATTAAAAACATTTCTCTCAAAGATCTTTGAAATTGAGTTTAAGGCAAATCGGACGGTAAGCAAAAAAGCTTCGTACAAACGTTTTTGGCGATTTGTCTACATTTGCAATATCTAATTATAAATCAATAATGAAATATTTGAAAAGCCAAAAAGAAATTCGAGCTGATTTTTTTATTAATTGTTTTACCCAAGTTCTGAACATGAACCTTCACAGCTTTGCCTTTAAACTTTTAATGCAGCAGCATTTCTTAAAAAGTATTTTTTCCATGAAAAGCGAGTAAGGGCAGAAAAGAATAATCGCATGCCAAGGCACAAAGTGTTGCAATGCAAATCCAAGAAATGGAAATATGAACTGCTTTGGTAAGAAAACAATTCCTTAGAGATTTGCGCTTATAAAAGCTTTGCTGCCGGATATTTTCCTCTTTTTTCTGTCTTTTTTTTTTTTGTTCCTTTACAGCTAAGTCTTTCTAGGAACTACTTGACTTTGCTTTCAATTTTGCGTTTAGTTGATAACAAAAAAAAAGAAGATGTATAAAGAAAATGTGATGAGGCCATATCGAGCAGCGGGGATTTGAAGCTATTTAGGCTGGCAAATGCTCAATCATTTAGCTTGACGTGAGGCAGTGATTGCCTGAGCCTGGCCAGCAACATTGATTGAAGGTCGCCATGCTGTTAACCCTTTGCAAAATAGTAGTAGCAGCAGGAGGTGTAGGAGGAGAAGGGGTGGCCTGTAGGCTACTCCTAATATGTCAACATCAGCAGCAACAGCAGAAGCTGGAGCAAAGCCCACGCAGCGACAGCTTTAGGCGGTCACGAAGGCAAATACGCCCACGAGTGGGACTGGATTTGAAGTGGAGAGGATGGATTTATGCTGGCCCAGTAGATGTATATTAAATGCGCAGAACTCGAACCAAATTACTGCCCGATTACTGGAGCTGCACTCGAAGCGAAAAATGTTGCCCACAGTCAGGTTCAGGCGAGCGGCGAGCTAACGAGGTTGGGTTGACAACGGGGGTCGGGCGCTCGAGCTAAGACGAAATGACTAATTTATGAGCCATCAATCACGTGACTGACTATGGCCATCAGGCATTTGCTGCAGGCTCGTCGGCTTTAATTTGCACCAGCTCGTGCCGGAAACGGAAGTTGCGCTGCGTAAAGGAAGCCAGAGCCAAGTGCAGACACGCAGCTTAATCTAAACGCACATCAGGCGCAGCAAAGGAGCGACAAATAAAGAAGGGCGCAACAAAGTTTAGCTCGTTTAAGACAAGTTCTCCTGGCGAGTTCATTAAAAGCATTGAAAGTACATTAAATAAATGACAGGCAAAAACATTCCGAGAGCATATACATGTATATGTATATATATATATATATATATAAAGCCACGAGAGCCTTGCCCTTGAGCCCTTAATTACAAACTGTCCATTGGGCATTACAGACTACTTAGTTTCTTGCCTCCGACTGCTGCTCCTTGTCAGACTCGACGACGACGACGCCAAGGCTGGCGTCAGCAGCAGGCGGAACGGCGACATCGCTGCACTTGGAATTGACCATTGGGGATTTGGGATTTGAACTGGTGCTCACCATGGCCAGTTCGATGGCCGTTTCGGTGCTGTTCGAGGCATTCAATGTTGGCGGCATATCGGTTTTGTTCGTTTCTGTCAGCGGCAACTGCTTATTATCCACCACAGCAGTAGCAGCAGCAGCAGGCGGAGAAGGGGGGACAGGTCTGGGCAGCGAGGAGGCGCTCGAGGAAGGCGTCAGGAATTGTGGCTGCGAGGAGCGCGCCTGGACATCCAGTTGATCATGATGCGTAAACATGGATGCCGTTGTCGAGGCAGTGTCTATGGTCAGCTGTTGCTGTTGTTGCTGCTGCTGCTGCACGCGATTTGGATTCGGAAAGGGTCGTCGATTCTCCAAAATGAGCTTAATATCGCGCGCCGACTGCCACCAGCTGGGAGGAAGGGTTGGTGTAGAGTATGATTCAACAGGAATTGGAAACCAAATGCAAATACTGCTTACCGATACCAGGGCGTTAGCTGCGACTTGATCAGCATATAGATATTGGCAAAGTAAACAGTAATCTGTGGGTTGATAGGCGCCTTCATATAAGACAGAGAAAAGAGAGCAGAGAGAGAGAGAGAGAGAGGTAGCTGGCACTCGATACACACCGTCATAAACAAGAAGAACAACATCCAGGACTTGGTCCACAACTTGCTCAGTCCCCAGGATTGCGTGTGCATCGCATAATACTGTATGCCCACCAGCAAGGTGCCAATTATGCCAAATGCGACCAGTGTCAGCAGCGAGAACATTTGGCAATCCTCCTGCAGGGCGCGCCGGCTCATGGCGCGCGAGTACCACAAACGCAGCGATTGCAGGCAGGTGTAGCTAATGAAGAGTGGGTCAGGTATAAGGTGGTAAAAGTGAACAAGGGCTGCGCAAATGTGGGGCAATTAGTTAGCTCAAAGCTTTCAGTGATTAAAAAAGTGCCAAAGCCTAAGCCCCGACTTCGGCTGATGAAGAGTGTCGACTGTCGAGTATGCCACACACTTTGAACTGTTGCCACTTGGCTTGCCCCAAGCCCCCCAACCGCCCTTCCCGTGAACCGTTGCACGGCTTTTATTGCACTTACCGCAGCGTCTGTTCCGTGTTATAATGAAACTGGCACAGCTCACAGATTGTGCAGCGCGAGGTACTAATCCAGCGCTCCAGGCAATGTACGTGCACATATGTCAGCGAGCCCTTGCACAAGCACGGCGACACGAGTCTGCAAAGAGAACAAAAATGGGAGGGGCGTAGGGTGGTTAATAGGGGATTGTGTGTTAACAACAATAGCGGGATTTAAATGTGCGGACAGATGGGCAAACAGTTCAACAAGCATCCGGTGCAAACAGCCTGACACTTCCACATATATGCTAAATACATATGTTGCGCCTCCGGCTGCATTTTAATAATTTAATATAAATAATAATATTTGCCAGATAAACTACAGTTAAATCAACTATATATACCTCTATATATACTATATATGTATTTATGTAATTGCTATGGCAAAGTCCATTACGCTAATTTTATTAAAATGTCATGCAATTAATTTTTGCATTTTGCGGTCGCACGCACAATGTTTATTGTCATGCAGTCTGATACCCTGTAACCGCAGCGCCGCAGGGGGTATATGCAGCTGTGTATCATAGGTTGAATTTAGCATAAGCTAAACAGGGTATATGTAGGGTATTATAGGTTTTATAGGAATATCTTGATGTATATAAGGCGAACTTTGAATATAATATTAATTTTCAGTTTTCCTCAAGATTCTTCTTCGAGGACCTTCGAAATTTATACAAAACAATGTTCAAACATCATTTTACAGAGCATGTCCTAGTCGTTTTTACCTCAACCATAGCTCTGCTGTGAGTTATAATTTAAACGGCATAGATGTGTGTTTATAGATAGTTATATGCATGGAGGATTTATAATCGTACTCACTGTTCGGGATTATCGGCATTGTGGCAAATGCGACAGACGAGCGAGCCAATCGATGGCATCGAATCGCTGGAATTGGTCGCCTCGCAGTCCAGGTTGAGGTTGTTGCATTGGGTGCCGCTGTCCGCGCAGCGACGCAGCATCGGAATGGCCGGATCGCTGCCAGCTGCCATTATGGTGGCACACGACGAGATGTTGGCCGCGGCCAGGGCTGCCTCGGTGCTGGCCAGCGGCTGGGCGTAGCTGTCGATGCTTTGCGAAAGTATCTGGAATTGGACATTCGGCTTGAGGCCCAGCGTTATGGAGCAGCCGGCCTGATCGGCTGCCTCGACATGATTGACTGCATCACGCTCCGAATTCTTTGCGTTTGTGTTGCTGTTCTTGGCCTGCAGCGGCACTTGGGGCTCCTTCGAGCTGATGCATGTCTCGACAATGATCATGGAGGGTGGCGTATCGTCGGCGCTGCTGTTCGAGACAAGCTCATCGATATCCAGCTGTAAATTGGTATCCGGCTTCAACGCATCCTGCTCGACCTTGCCGCCAGTGGCATCTGTAGAAGGTGCAAATAGAAGCAGGTTTTATGTATAGTAAATTGATCTAGAGCAGACCGAATCGCTCGCTCTCCATTGTGAGCCAAGCAGCTATTTTTCCCGATAATCCGATATGCACAACAATTATACTCAAAGGCGAGGCTCTCCCTTATCCTCTCTCTCTCTCTCACACATAAACTCTCTCTCTATCTCTATCTTAAGCTTGCGCTTCTGTTGATACTTGTGGTATAAATTAACCAAAATTTTAAAACATTCCGCTTGTATAAAAACTCTGATCGATTATTGTGTTCTTATGTACTACAATAGTCAAAAGCGCCTAGCTACTAACTCAGCGACTGCTTGATTCTAACTGAGAAATCTGTATATAAATGGAATATATGTATATATTTGTATATATACGATTGCCTGATCTTTTTTTGTCCTACGCCTAGGCAGCTTTTACAAATTTTCCAGCTATGAAAATGGTTTGAAACTTTTTTCCACCCATATTTCACCTGGCTGCGTGGAATCCGACGACCTTCTAACTTTTGACGTGCTGCAAAATGCCATT